AACACATTCAAAGAAACTCGAAACATTCTACCTGATGAGCAAATAGATGTCTCGAGAACAGCAGCGGAGATTGTGGCGCTGCTAGCCGGTGCATTTGATGAAACACCTCGAGCATTTCTGGTGACTTCATCAAGGACCTGGAATTTGCTTTAGGAGTATTAAGAGAGTAGAGAAGAGAGTATTCCGTTTGAAAAACGTCTCCATCACTTCTCATGACCCACCGCATCCACTGTTTCAGGAATGGGAAGTCCCTGACAATTTTCGTAAGCGCGAACTGCGTTGTCGTAGTTCTTCGGTGTGCTCATCGGTAAATCTCCATTCATTGTAGCATAACCACTACTGGTATCGTTCCAACCCGGTTCCCCTTCTTTAGAAGGTGGACATCGTCGAAGACACGGAGTACGGGGAGCACAGGGAGCGATCGCAGATGGAGCCAACGAACTAAAATGAGATCAAGATTGGGTTGGATTTTTTTCTGGAAGTGGGGGTGCTAAATAATGTGCCTCGGCAAAAAAAGGCATAAAAGTCTACAAAAACAAGCAAAATAGGACCCATTTGCTGCCCTCCGACCTTCGACAATGGACGTGCCAGTAATCAAGTAAGGGTCGTTTGCACGTGGTAACCCGAGAGCCACTATCATGCCAACAAGCACCTTGTTTTGATTGATAACGCATTACACAGAAGAATTAGATACGGCCGCTCAACATGAGATGCCCTATCAAAATGAGAAACGAACGATGCTCCTACTGGCAACACACTAGTAGGCTTAGCACAGACGGAAGCGGAGCACATAAAAGGTTCGGAAAACCCATGCACTGCTACTAGTCCCTGCGCCTGGTCGCAAAAAGCCACACCTCGTTTCATTTCGCCCCTGCTGCACTGCTTGCACTGGTGTATGTACGTCCACGCTGCACACATTTATCGCAATCCTTTGCTATATGTACATCTACCACCATTCCTAATGCAAGCACGAAAATTTGAAGAGAAAGAAGAAGCCTTAGCAGAGATAGTGCACCTCACCAGATATTTACTCCTAATTTGCTCCATGGATTCAGTGCCACAACAAAGATGTATGCAGATGATTCGTTCTTTTTTTGAATTACAAAACGGCTCATGCACATATTAGAAGAGAACGATCCAAGATGTTCTTGGTAATCCAGGAACAATCATAAAAACCAAAAATCCTGCATTGGATATCAGACTGCTATAAGGCTGCAAAGGAGAAAATTCTCAGTTTGAGATTCGATGCATTATCTATAATGTTTGATGTTTCTTGTTACACTTCATATGAGATTGCGACCTCGTTACCTAAAGCTTGTGAACTCTGCACCGATTTACGTGCTATTTTCTATAACTGTCGCTTTCTTGTGTTTTTCTTTTGGAAGTAAGAATACACACATACAAATCGGAAGGAACATACGTATTCAGAAATTTTTCCGAATCTTTTTGTTGTGACCGCGGTATTGCTTCTGGGCCTGTTCCCCATATATGGGACGTGAGATGAGATACGGCAGGGCCATTTTTGGAAGTAGAAGGGCGAGATGGCACACTCGATGATGTACTTGGCTCTTCCTCATGCATATCTTCCACCACCATCCTTAAATTGTGAAGATTATTTTAGTGGAATCCTGCACATCTCGTTCATTTCGCCCCTGGCTACTGCTTGCACTGGTGTATGTACTTCCACGCTGCACACATTTAACGGCAATCCTTTGCCTATATGTACATCTACCACCATTCCTAATGCAAGCACGAAAATTTGAAGAGAAAGAAGAAGCCTTAGCAGAGATA